ATATATAGGCATGTTAATAAGCTTCGTAAATTGAAGCATGGAATCCCCCCACTTTTCATGTCAGGCGGTAGAGTACAAAGCGCCGAAGAAGCAGCTAATGATCTGCGGCTGCAATACGCCCCAACCTTTGAACTCGCAACCTCTACCTGTCCCATAATATCAAGCACATTACCGACACCTTTGTTTACAAATGTAATTTTTAAGTCATCAATTGCGCTAAGGAATTTACTCTCACTGCGTGAACATAGTTCTCCAGGAGCAGACAACATCCGCCCAAAGACACCGAAGGCTACGGCAACCAAGCTAACTGAGCCACTGTCACAGTTCTTCCAAAGGTGCTTTGATGAACAGCAAGTCCCCACTATGTGGAAGTGTGGCATTATAACCCCTATTTTTAAAGGCGGTAGCCGTTCCGACCCTGTAAACCATCGTCCAGTGACTCTCCTCCCTGTGCTCGCGAAGGTGATGGAAGCAGTCGTCGCTGAGGCTTTAATGGACTGCCTAGAAAAATGCAACATATTGGTACCGGAACAGCATGGCTTCCGTCAACAACGGTCATGCACCCCCCAACCTACTTATTGCACGAGGTATTTGGACGGAAGTGGCCGATGATGAGGTCGGAGTCGATGTCCTCTATTTGGACTTCTCCAAAGCTTTCGACCGCCTTGATCACCGCATCCTACTTCAAAGACTACAAAGTTACGGAATCGAAGAGCCAGCACTTGGTTGGATTGGCAACTTCCTTTACCAAGGAAAGCTTCAATTAGGGGATCACTTTCTAACCCAATTGAGGTGGAATGTGGTGTCCCGCAAGGCTCAGTGCTGTGACCGCGTTTATTCCTGGTGTTCATCAACGACCTGGCAAGAGTCATCTCCTCAAATTTCCTGCTTTCCGCAGATGATGTCAAAATATGGCGGGCGATTAGTAACAAGCCAGATCAGGATCTGCTCCAACATGAGTTAGATTGAATTTACGAATGGTCAAAGAGGAACAAGCTTCAATTGAACATAGCTAATTGCAAAGTGATGTATCTGCGTCACCAGCCGGTGAGCGCTTACAAGATTGGAGACCACAACTTGGCGAAGGTTTCTCATGAGCGGGACCTGGGTGTATTGGTGCAGGAAGATCTCGGGTGTTCAAAACAAGCAGAGAAGGCGAGGAGAACCGGAAATCAACACTTCGGCCTTCTTCGCAGAGCCTTCGGTCGGTTTGAACCCTTAATTTTCCCCAAAGACTTAACGACTACGTGCGACCTCACGTGGAATATGCTATTCAGGCGTGGCAGCCGTGGCAGAAACAGGATCTCATTGTTATCGAGACTCCTCAACGAAGGGCAACCAAGAACGTCAGGGGCATCTTTCATCTGCCCTATCAGCTTAGACTGAAATCTCTAAGAATCTACAGCAGTCGATATCGGCTTTTGCGGGGGTATGTCATAATGGTTTACCAGATTCTGAAGAACCCAAACCACATTTGTCGTCCGCTGCTGGAATTGAACCACAACACTAAACTAAGAGGTCACCATCTGAAACTGACAATTCAGTATAGCCGGCTTGAATGCCGTAGCAATTTCTTTTCTCTTCGCGTGTGCCAGCCTTGGAACGCCCTCCCTAATTATGTCGTCTCTGCTCCCAATCTGATGATATTTAAAAAACGTGTTGACGATGCATTTTCTCACTTACATTTCATTTTATGACTTGTTAGCCAGGGGCTACAAAACGCAATCAAACGGTGTCTTGCCAAACGCCTAACCAATGGATTTATGGATTTATATGTTTAATACGCGAACATCTCTGCTATTCCACATAAGTCCATGTTGAGTCCACCCCAACGCTTTTCACTTTATCATGCAACTGATTTTCACAATAATTTCCATCCTACTAGACTTGTTAAACAACGCTTTTTTACCCGTAATAAACCATTGTTCCATTGTCCATTGTACCACGTTGTATTGAGGCAGATCAGTGTTCTGCTATCCGCCCTGACAGACGTCTGGTCACGCGTTCAAGCTATCTCCTATCACAGATGCAAGTAAACTGGTATAGTACATATGATCCGGACTGGGCCGGAATTATGTCTTTTAGACGGCTGGTGATGAGCGGAACTATTTCAGCGTGAGCGCGGACTCTTGCAGCCATTTGGTTTAGCGTGAAGTCCATTTCTTACTCAACATTTTGAACTGTTTGTTCCCTTTGAAAGGCATTAAGAGGAAAGCATCTTCCTTTCTCACGGTCATTTTCGGCCCAGGCTCAGCTCGGATCTAGGAACACTTTTGGTGAATGCATTTGGGCTCCTTTGTTTTCCAATTTCATATGAAATGCATTTCCGCTTCCAGTGTTTCAGGGCTGTAAATCCTCGTAGCTTGATATTAAAGGCTGTTACAAAGTTTTGTTTTAACTTTATCGGTACGAAGCTCTGGAAGTGCGGAAAAGCTTTCATTCAAGCGATCCTTCCTCTCGTCGTTTCAGCAAAACATCAAAAAAGTAAGCTTGCTCTCCGCTTTAATCTTGCAAGTGAATTTCCACGATGGTTGCGCGTTGTTAAATTGATTCTACAGATAAACGTCATCAGTACGAGAGTCGCAAACATTAAGCGTAAAATCCCTGTATCGTTTTTACTAATCAAGGAATGCGCTTTGATGTCTGGTAGGTCCGCGTTCACTTTTTGTAAGAAAAATGTCTCCAAGCAGCTGTCCTTTGGCCGATCCTAATGCAACTCCGTCTATTTGTCTATAGTATTTTCCGTCAAATAGAAACTGTCTGTTGAAGGTGCAAGGTAGAAGCAACTCTCACGCATTACGAACCAAGATCACAAGAACAATGTTGTTTTCTTTTAGGTATTCACAGATGAAGTTGAACGTTGCTACCAAAGGAATTTTCATAAAGAGCAATTATACATCAAAGGAGAACATCCATTTTTCTTTCACATTTTATTTTTTTACCCGATGGGCGGATATAACTGCATCACTCATCGTGTGACCGAACAATTCTCTATGTATTGGTTCTAGAATTTCCACAAAGTACTTAACGACTGAATGTGTACCAGACCCAGACAGATCATTCACACGTCGTAGCGGGTTGTTTGGTTTGTGGACCTGTGGCACACCGTAGAGTCGAGGTGGATGCAGGCCACAAGATGGTAATCGCTCAATTAAGGAGCGATCAATGTACTTACGGCGGTTTAGTCATTTCAGTGATTTGATAACTTTGATCTCATCCTGTTCTGTATTGTCCTTATGTACTGAATGAAGCAAGAACTTGCTGTAAACCTGCAAGCTCGTCTGTATCTTTGACATATAATCGCACTGGTCCATTATTACCTAACCCATCACTTATCTGGCCTTGAGAATATTATCGATGGAATGTACGATAATTATTTTATCGCTTCTCGGTATGCAGTGGTGATAAATGTTGAGGTTTGTATTCAAATATTTCTGTGATAAATGCACCAAAGTGGTTCTGAAAGTGTCATCAGCTCGGGACGACGTAGGTTTTAATTCGATCAGTTGATACATTAAACTTTCGAACTGTGTCTCTAAACGCAGGTGCATCCTACGTGGTTATGATGCACATAATTTTGGTCTTTTTGACAGAGCCTCAAGTTTTACTTTGTTGAGCTTCATTTTAGAGATATTGTAAATATATCTTTCTGGGTGCGTTGGAAATTGCGATTCAGGCACGTCTGGTTTAAAAATCGTTAGTATGTTCGTTTACTTTCTCTCTTCACTCTTTGCGCATACGTCGGATATGTAGCTTAGGAACGAGTTTGGTTTTTCTGGTTGAGTTTATCCAAGGAAAATTGCGAGTGTGAGCAACGCCGCTGCAAATCCGGAACTCGTGACTGAACATTTTCCGGAAGTTTTAAACATGCCGTTTTAGAGAGTTGCTAGTTGGACGAATATGACATCGCTATAAATCATTCCAGTATGTCTTTGGATAATGGTTTCCTTTTAAACACTGCTCGATGAATCAGATCTCAGTATTCGCATCTGCAATCCTAGCGTTGAACTTCAAAATTTGTTGGGGTCTAAAAACGCCTCAGACTGATTGCGCTTCTTTTAAATCATAACATGCACATTCTGATGTCAAAAACAATTTGCGAAGAGATTTCTTTTGATAAATCTCTTCTGGCAATTACAATTATAGAGCAGTAGATGTGATGAATCTCTACCTAATTACAATTATGAACTTCACAATAATTTGTGCAATAGCTATGGTTTGCGATGAAAACACAGAATTGTATGCAACGATCGGACGAAACGTGGCAATAATGAATTTGGTACAGCTTGCTAATCAAAGGAGGTGGATAGAGAAGATAATGTTTAGGAGAAATACATATGAAACGGAAGGTGAAAGCAAGCATATTTTGTTACAAACGAAGAACAATTGATGTAAGGCAGGTTGGATATAGCTTTAACAATGCACAATTATTGCGAAGCACAGAGTTATAAATGATTCGTACATCCTCATTTGCATGCATCAATATATCTTTTAGTTGATATTTGCATTGTTTCTGGATTTTTTAAGTGGATATAATTTAAAGTGGACTTGTAGAAAGTCATAAGCTTTCATTATATAGATACCTAGTTCCTGTATTCTACACATATGCTGCATCCACATTTACAACGCTGGACTTGCTAAAGATGAATTTACTAGAAGCATATCATTTGTGTATACATTTGTTAGAGCTGGTCGAATCGTGGATAAAACCTATGGCAATATATAAACCAACATTATGGAAGAGGTAAACGCAATTTCCGGCGTCCAACTTATTACTTTCACCGCATGTTGCTTCCAATCAAAATTACGACAATTGTCCACGTGATTTGTTGTTCCACAAGTGCCTGCGGGAATGACAATTAATCTCTCACATGCATGGTCTATTGCTAGACTCTGGGGATCATGAGCAGACAACACACAAGCGACCAACCAGAGTGCTGTGCTTAACGAAAAAGTTGGACCAACCAGCCTTGGGAGGACGTTAGTGCACCCGTTTACCTGTCATTTGCATTAGGTGCTCACTCACTCATTTACTCACTTATAAAGTCACTCCGTTGGCCTAATTGCCACAGTTGCCAGACTGCGGGGAAATCCCTGTGTCGCAGTTGTTGATAGCCGTTCAGCTGTGCTTAAAAACTTCCGCAATTGTGTTCACCGGAACACCGTTATGTTGACTACAACGATGCTTATCGCATGAGTTCATCTCAGCTAGCTGTGTTAATTCACTGAGCATGACTCATTGGTACACTTGGAGCAGGTGTTTTGAAAAGTGTCCCGCTGTTTTCATGACATTAATCGTCCTAAACGCCAAATCAACTTTATCTGTGTTCTTGGCTCCGACAAGCACTTTCTGGATTGAAGAGAATTTACCTAAAGGTAGCCTTATTGGCAATCTGTCTCATCCGGTCGAAATCTCGGAACTAAAATATCGTGTGTATACAGAACTTGCACAGGGTAAAATTGCTCGTTTTTTTAATGTGGACCCAAAAGATGGAACGATATATGCGGAGCAGAATATTGATCGTGAGGCGTTGTGTGAGAACTCGGTTTATCCATCAAACAGAGAAAGTCAAAGCGCCGTTGAGGTTATTTCCTCGAGGAATACCTATCAACAGAATACAATGCTTTCAGACAAAAACTCACCGGTTAAGAAATCAACATTGGGGACTATAGATAGAGAAGAAATGGATAATACTGCTCAAACAATTTCCAAATCCGCCAGTTGTATGGTTAATTTTCAGGTTCACGTGGCTCTAACTTTTACTGATGGAACAACAGTCAATCGGATAATAGATGTTCATGTGATGATCGCAGATATTAACGATAACTCGCCACAATTCAGCTCCCCAAGTACCACGCTTCATGTGTCGGAAAGTTCCCCAGTGGGCTCCGAGTTTCGTCTACCCCAGGCATTTGATGCGGATCCGGGCTATCACGGGGTGGTAAGTTACAAAATCATGAGAGCCAACAGCAAAGTAGAGAGTAAAAGTGGGATAATGAATTGTAATCTGAACAGTACTGAACAGCCTTTAAGGAATTCATTCTTCTCTATGTCTGTTTCTAGAGCAGGACATACAGCTGAGATAATGGGTAACGACCACGCATTTCCGTTTGCTGGAGACTACTTTATCTTAAGAACCCATAAAAAGTTAGGTGGTTTGATTCAGCCGTACCTACAACAGATCCATTTGCTCGATCGAGAGCAGCATGAAAGCCTATATTTCTGCTTGTTAGCAGAAGATGGTGGAGGAAGGCAAGGAGCTATGTTGGGAAAAATAGAAGTTTTGGATATAAATGATAACGTTCCTCAATGGCTTGGATTACCTTTTAAAGTCACGGTATCAGAATGTGCTTCCCAGTCAATGAGAGACTTTGGACAGCCAGGTAATTTTCACCCAGATTCCGTTAGTGGGGACATCCTCAGGTTAATAACTACCTTACATGCGGAAGACAAAGACAGTGGTCGCAATGGTAAGATATCATACAGATTGAGTGAAAAATATATGCCTGGGGCATCGCAAAACTTGAAAAACAAGCCACCTGCAATAATAGTTAGAGAGAATCAAGTTTTACTTGCATCAAAATTAGACTATGAAAGTGTAAGACAGTTCCTAATACCAGTGGAAGCGGTTGACGGAGGCGGTTTGGTCAACGTCACAGAAATCGAAGTTGTGGTAGAAGACTGCAATGACCACGCACCCATAATAAACGTTATTCCGCTTAACACCATTGAATCAGTCTATTTCACATCAAAACGAAGTCGACAGACGTCTGATAAGACAGTCCTTGCAGTACTGGAAGAGGACAGTAAGCACATCGAATTGGCCACCATAATAGTACATGATCTGGATGAAAATGATAACCGACACATCACCTGCACACTTGATCCAGGAGCAGGAGCAGGACCGTTATCTGAAATGAGTACCTTCGGTTTGGATCTGCTTGAACCCTCAGGTAATAGTCAATCAGACCTCAATCGAATTACAACAAAGCCTGTGATTTTTACCTTCTACAAACGCGAAGGGGCTACTCTTAATCGGGAAGTTACCTCTTCATTAATTGTAAACATATTGTGCTCAGATAACAACGTTAATTCTCCACATGAAACACGGAAATTACTCAACATCAAAGTGGTAGATGCAAACGACAACGCTCCACAAGTATCTCGTACGGATCATCGTATTGATAAGCAAGATGTTATCATTACGCAAACGCTGCACGTCGTAGAAAATGAACCCATCGGGACCTATATTGGTTCAGTGTACGCCGTGGACGCAGATGAAGGTATAAACGCTAAATTGCACTATACCTTTGCAAAACTAAATACTGCTTATCCCGATCAACATGAGGACGGTGTGAAGGAAGCCACTGGAGCTGAGCTGTTCGAAATGGAATCTTCGAGTGGCAAAGTGTTTACTCACGCTCCGTTGGACCGCGAACGAAACGCCACATTCGTGTGTATTGTCAACGTTTCGGACTCAGGCAACCCCCCACTGTCTTCAATCGTCCGTCTGCGTATAATCGTGTTGGATGTCAACGACTCACCACCTATGTTTATCACGACCCCTGGAGAGAACGGGCGTATCTTGTTTTCAGTAAATGAATCTGTGGGAAAATCACATGTTCACGGACGCCTTGTAGGACAATTGCAATCAACTGACGCTGATGAAGGGCAGAACAGATCTGTAATCTACGAACTTGTCGAAGGACTCTCCATACCGAAAGGACTAGCTGTGCGTTATCGTGTCACACCTAAAGGCAAAATTTACGCTGATGGTATCATGGATCGTGAACAGTTTCCCGAACATCAGTTTACTGTGAGAGCGTTTGATGAAGCTCCTATTGGGCATCAGCTCACTAGTACAGCAATCGTTGTTGTTTCATTGTTGGATATTAACGACAGCCCGCCAACATTCGTTTCCCCACCTTCCAGCGGCGATAGTGGACTCTTTACAGACGTGATTAATGTGAGCGCAAGAATACCGCCCGGTTCCGTCCTCTATCACATACGAGCGACTGATCTTGATGAACCGAGAAACACTCAGCTACATTTCACAATCCGATCGGCGAAATTCCTTTCCGACTACTTTGTATTACGTCCACTAAACGCACACATATCTGGTTCTAATAGAATCACTGATTCAGGTGCCGAACTAATACTAGCAAACAGTCTAAATCAATTGCCGACAGTAAATCCAGGTATGCACAATGAAAGCATTTTCCATGAGGATTTATCACATGATCTTTTGGCCAAAGAATATTTTGTCTATATTATTGCTAAGGACAGTGAAATTGAACCAATTCATTCTTGTACAGCCCGCTTACGTATCCACGTATATCCAGACATCAGAGTAGATGATGCGCAGATCCAAGTTGGATCATTTGTTGCAGTGAATAAAAGCACGGATCCGAGTACGCTACACAATACAGAGATCATAGGATCTCATTTGCTCCCGATGAACTATTTCCAGATTGAGCAAGATGATACAATTCCGATGGAAAGGCAAGGAAAGGCATCCGGAATGGCCATGATTTTAACGATGTCCATTGTGATTGTGTGTATATTCCTTGGGCTCTTTTGTTTCGTGGCTATTGTATATATTCGCGGAAATGTACTCAATTCCCCATCGTCTCTGCAAACACACGAACCGAGTGATAGGAAGCGGAAACTAACAAAAACAACGTTGGGAGAGACACCCCACGACATTGGGTGTGACGATGCGATGTCTGCATGTGACCAGGCCGTATATTTGGAACTACTGAACCAAAGAGGTAAGTCTATGCTTTATACAAAATAACCAAGCTTTTCGGAGTTTAAGTTCACCAATGTTTTTATGTGTACTCATAAAAAATTACAAAAGTATACGTGGTCTTAAGCGTTCAGCAGACAAACATATATTGTTGAAACCATGGAAGAATGAAATAGTAATTTAAAAATTAAGCTTCACTGCTACGAATCGCGAAGTGTTTTCCTGTCACTTTTTACGCCACAGCAAATAGTGCGTTACATGCACCTTGATTTCAGGGAAACTTAATATAACGCCTTTTACGTAGCGTTGTATCATCGCTCAATTAGTTAGAGTTTTGTTAAGAAATGTGAAGATTTAGTTTGTAGTTAGGATTTCCATGAACAACACGGTGGGCAGATCCTCTCTTTTAGCATTGGGGGTATGTTTATTCTTCCAGTATACTTTCGAGGTATAGAAACATGCATTGAGGTACGTCAACCTTTACCTTCCTTATATCCAAAGGAATATGATATACTGGTTTTTGGTTTCCTAATGTAATTAAAGTTGTGAGATCACAAAACAAAAGCGGCGAAGCCAGTATTACACTATAAGTACTCAATTATATTTTATTTAACCAGAAAGTAAACATTACAGTTTATGCCAAAAATCCACGCTTTACACTGCATTATCATGCAGGAATATTCACTAAAATCGGGGTACGATTTAATTCCGGGCAAATTTTCACTGCAGATTGTCAAGAGAGTACCCAGGAACACGTACAAAATTCGGAAAGAGAAGGCAAAACGGATGATTGAACAAAATAATGACTACATCTTTTCACTTACAAACGACAAGAAAGATGCCGATTCGTCAAATCTCTACTAGATTATTATGGCGTATAGCAAGGGTGATCAAATCTTCATTTTGCATACACAGCCTATGGTCAAAATGTTTGTTCTCGACGGACTGAGCGCCACGCGTTGATCTGACGGAAACTATGCGGGGGGTCAACCCATTGTTCGTCTGTCAGGAGATGGCGGGCGTTTGATGATGCACGCGTCTTGTACGACTAACCGCTTGCGTTCGTTGGCTGCGCATCTGTGGTGTTAGAAGGGACTAGTTTCAAGATGTGATTCCTAATAGTCACTGGAATGTGTTCCGCTATTATCACCTGCAACTGTCGCTCTGTCACGCTTATGGTATTGGGCTTGCAGTTATGTGTATGAAGCTTGTGTATAGCTTTTCGGTTTATGCTGCGGGGTACCTACGACTTGCTGCAGATTTCAAACACTTGAAATAATTACCCTACATCAAATCCATTGAAATGTAACTCAAAATAAACTGTTTGCTTTGGCAAGTTTGGCCGCTTTGTTTTTGTTCTTATGTTTGAGAAAGGTTTATTTATATTGCATCCGCAGGATACTGTCAGTTTCCCAAGCCTAAACAGGAGAATGATTAGCTTTCTTAACCAAAATCTTTAGCTCAAATACCTTGTTGGAAGATAGCGGGTTTGAAAATACGCTACAATAAGCCAGATTTAAGGAACTTGAAGCTACCCACATTTTAAACCCCAACATCGTAAGCCAGGGGACTGAGTTTATCTGACCTCTAAACTTTGATAAAGCTGGTATGAGTGGATCTGAAGGTGCAAATAAACACCACCTACTCAACGGATCCCTGAGGCACGCAAACCATCGCAACACGGTAAGGTGCAGCCATTGAAATTAGAAATGAGTTCAAAAAACTTAGAGAAAAAGCTAGAAGCGCTTTCGCTGACCTTCGTCAAATTTGCGCCCGCTCAAAATCACTCTCTCTCTAAAGGGTAGAGTGTGCATTGCAACTGTAAGTTTGGCCTTAATATACGGTTAAGATATCTGGCCTATTAAATCGGCTTACCAAAGAAACCAGTTTCGTTCGACCACCGGTACCTTCGCAGTTTGGCTCATGTATGTTTGGAACACCATGTGAGCAATGAGTGTGTTCCACACTTTGTTTATGTCGCAGGAAGTAGAAGCGAACGGCTCAGCACAGTTACTTTATGCAACAGGCTCAGATAGCTGGAGACACATGTCGAGCATTCCAGCCCACCGGCTCCTGCCACGTGCGTTTTTTGCGCTGTATGGGTGAGGATGGATTAAGAGCAGTGGTAGCAAAACGATGACTTGGTCAATAGGAATAAATGCCCCTACTTGGAATTTGGCATTGGTTGGAGACGTTGGGCGACCGGTTGTGTACCGTAGGACCATGACCACATTTGGCTGGCTACACTTGTTGACATGGCTAGGATATGACCTCAGGGGCGATCGTGCTGCGAATTTCGTTGTTCCTCCTCTCTAACTTAGTCTCCCCTCGAACAACGATCTCATTCATTAGGCGCAATACAACTCCTTTTTTCACCGTAATAACCGGCCTTCAGCTCTCCGGAACGATGTACATGCGTTGCCTGTGACACAGCCGGTGTTCCTTTGTCTCACGTTTTTATATTTTATTTTTTGTGACAAAATAGCTATTTCCAACTGCAGCTGAAGTTTATAATAATGGTGATGAGTATACTGCTTCTCTCTTATTACTGAAGTAAGCAATTAGAGAATTTGGGTACTTTGTCTTCCCGTCTTTTTTGGGGTATGCACTTCTTCAAACGACATTCCTTGTTTACATATTTGCTTTAATCGCTGTTTGTATTAATTGTGAGTAAATGTATGGTAAATCGGATACTACTCATTGCACATAGTCTTAGGATACGCATATAAACATATAAATCCATCAGTAATGCTTTCGAGCATTATGTTGAGGAACGCTATCCTATAACTCTACTCTCACTTTGTCGTTACCACGCTCTTTTGGTGTAATTCATGGATTTCAGTGCGCAGTCGGGTAAATCGCTCTTCTTTATCTCCAATGATTAGTACCCCGTCCAACTACCGGCCAAACAACAAGGACTTGGGGATTTCATCCACTAATTTGTTATAAAGCTAAGCATTGAAAAATATCCGGTTCGAGTGTACTTCGCAGCACCTGTCGATACCTTTACATTTGGAATGGAAAAATTACATTTGAGATACATAATAACAGATGCCCTACAATTTCGGTCACTAGAAGGTATAATTCTGACTGCCAATAACATAGTTGCATATGATCTGGACAATACCTTTACAGCGTTATGTTGATGAACACTGAGAAGAGATAGATGCTGACCGAAGAGTATTCACTTGGCTAGATATCATCAAACATTTACAATAATTCAATATTTTTCTTAAGTTCTGTATAACAATTGACTTTAGCACTCCCATTTAACCGAAACCGCGTTCTTTCTCTTTGGTGTATTAGTTCGAAAATGAACTGCAATTGTTAAGCCGTAAACTTTTCACGGTTCTCACTGTTCATTAGGACTTTCCAAGAAAATGTGCTTGGCCTATCAGGCGAAGATTGTATAAATCCTAATTTTTAATTAAATAAATAACCGAATGCATAACTATGTATTCTCGGCAAAACGAAGCATGACATTATTGGCATGATCATAATAATACTAAGCAATTGAGTAACAAATGTGCATTAGTGTAATAAGATTATCATATCTGTGGATCCATAAATATAGGTATGAATTAAGATATTTTGCTTGTTTTTATAAATGTGCTACTGGTAGTATGAATGAGTTAGATCGCGTCGTCGTTGTCTGAGAAATAGTTTCACATCTGTGGTTTTGATAAGGTCGTCAGCGTAAGCTTGGACAGTGATTTTATTTCGTGCTGAGTCACCTACCCCACGTCAAAATGTTGTTAAGCAGACTTTGCGGTCTTTTATAAGAAGAACGTTTGCCAGTCGAAAAGTCACCAATCCTGGTCACTGCCACAGAACCTTTTGCTGGAACGGGTTAAGCCCGAACCACCCAGCTGCCCTCATGGATATGTTCGGCTAGCCAGCCAAATTCTTTGTGTTTTCACTGATAATTTGTGATGACAGATTACAGATCCCAAGCTGAAATTTGTACTCATAAAAAGCCTACTGACACTAACTCGCGGGCATCTAACCAATATTGCCATAATTAATTGACGGAAGGGACTGAGGATTCATAGACCGTATTGTATTCATGAAATAGTCATCACATAATAAAATACATTTGTCTAGTTGGATATGACTTATTTGCTATTCTGCTATTCCAACACACAGCCATTTTGAGAGTGGAAGTGCGACTGGAACCTACTCTCGGAATATCCTGCTTGGAAACGGGTCCACTGAGGAAGGTTCCTTAGAGGACCTAATTCAGTTACTCAAATTGCAAATGAATTTAAATTGTTTTTTTCTTCTTAGTTCATAATCTTCCTAATGCTTTAATACCGTCATTCACATCAAAAAGCAATTTGGGATCCGTTATACACAAATAAACAGTTGACTCATTTATGCCATCTAGATGCAAAAAGCTCACATACCACAGCTGGATGGCGCATCATTTGTTTATTTATCAAGCTGGTTCCAATACTGTCGCTACACAGGTTTCACGCTTGTGTAGCGATGAGTTTCTAATGAGCACGATGGGACTCAGTAGGACACCCTGGTTGTGAAATTTTGGGCATCCCTTAGAATGAATGTACATGCATGAATGTACAGCTGCAGAAGTAATGAATTTTCCCTATAACGAATTCCACAACACTGTACATAGGCTTTCTCTAGTTCTGTCTCGTTGTCAGGATAATCTGTCGGTTCTTATTTTGTGCGGTCATTAAGCTTCGTTGTCAGCTGCTCTATGTAGGCGGATTTGTATGGCAACAGCCCGACCCTGGCGACGGCGTTCACTCCCACACAGTTTAAACCCCCACTGCTCGTGTCCAGACATTCATACATCGTTTACACGTAATTGCAAGCACCATAACATAGGCTTGACAGGGCGACAGTTGCAGGTGATAATCGTGGAGGACATCCCAGTGACTATCAGGAATCACATCTTGAAACTTGCCCCTACCAACACCACAGATTCGCAGCCAACAACCGCAATCGATTAGCCGTGAATGACGTCTGCGTCATCAATTCCCCCCCTCTTTTTACAGA